AAAAACAAACAAAAAAAAACTTTTAGTTGTATTTGCTGAAACTTCCTACTAGCGCTCATACTGGTATTTACAAGAATCCAGGGGCCTGAATAAAAACAACCACTCAGAACCAAGAAAAATATTTACTAGGTTCTCAAATACCGATGCTGGCAATGAGACACAATATCGTTTGTGCCCAACAGCGACACTGATGTAAAAACAAATTGTAGGGGAAACCCAGCAGATCCAGTAGCAGTGGTTACAGCAGGAGAGACTCGCATTTGCTGATGCTTACTAAATGTGTTGTTTTGTTCTGACAGAGAGCCTGAATGCTGACATGGTAAAGGCTGAGAACCCGGAGGCTGTGGTGGCTACAGAACCACAAGGTAAACACATCTGTATGTGTGGAATTGGATGGGACGATATATGATATTATCGTGTACTGCGATAAAACCAATTTCCATTATCGGGATAATCCTAAATTGTGACAATTTCCAATTTAATCCAAGATGTTAGCGCACACTACCTGTAGAGGCAGTGTAATGTCTCTTGTCATATAGCTGTGTGTATACATTTAAATGAATCTTGTTTTTTTTGCCTCTGCAGTCCAACAGACTCTCCTGGAGCCACCTAATGCTGAACCTACCACTGAAGAGAATGCTGTGTAACACACATGCGCACACACACACAGTAGCTTACCTTGCCATGCCTTCTATTATATGAGTATGTACCTCCCACTATTGGATTTATTAGCTATAATGGAGCCAGTGGGTCAAATGTAATTAACCTTTGGGGAAACTTCGTGACCCAACCAATTGTTAATGTAACAAATGCATTTTTATCAAAAACTGATTATGACCTCATTATGAAATATAACAAAACTGAAATGTAATATTAAATAAAATGACATTTATAGGAAATAAGAGGAATTCATATTGTCAGTCAACATTCATTGATCATTATGAACGAAAAAAAAAACAATCAGAAGCTGAGAAAAGATAGTTTTGGGTTACATGGCTTTGAAGATATTGTCTGTTGATATCTCAATTCCAGTTGTTGGTATTTGACAATCTGAGAATAGCAATCACTATCTTAAAAAAAAAAAAAAAAAAAAAAAAAAAAAAACTTGGTTGTTCCAGTTGTAGATCATTCCCATCATTGTGCATCAAACAAAACTACAGCCAGGGACGGTTTGTTCAGCCTTGTGCACGTCCCTTTGGTATACAGCTACAATAGTGAAAATTAATCTGTTATTGTGTTCAAAAGGGGATAACAGGATGCTGATTCCACCAAAGTGAGGGTATAATTGGACTTTCAATCAAGAGGAGAAAAAAACTTCTGAGGCGTTTATAGCTGCTCTCGGTTCACTTAAAGCCATTATTAGGCTCATGTTTGGAATAAGTTATTGATTAAATCAATCAATTTAACTAATCTGGAAACCAGTTCGCAAACAGTGACTGACTCCAGGTGAACTCAAAGCAACTTTGACACACCATAGAGTTTCTCTCCTATATGGAATATGATAAAACGCTTGTGTATTTTTTTACACACAGTATTCCACTTTATGTGTGTCTGCAGCTCAGCATAATGCTACAACTAAAGCCCTGGCTCACTGCAAGTAATCAACAGGTACATGCTGGAACGGCTGGATAACTGAAAACAACATTTAGTCAGTGAGTGGTGTCCAAGAGTAAACAATAAATTACTATATCACACATACATTTGGCAAGGTTGGATAACCACTGTCGCCAAGTTTACAGCAGAGAATAAAATAAATCCTGTGTTCACATTCAGCACAGGACTACAAATCACCTCTTCCCATGCTACGCAATAGACATTCTACATTGATCTTTGTTGTGTGTGTGTGTGTGTGGTGTTTGTTTTGTGTGTTGCTGTGTGTGGTGAGGGGTTCCATTAAGGCCTCGCCACACCAATCCGATTACTCGGACCTGTCGGAGTCGTCGGACAGGTCGGTGACTCGAATCGGTTCGGTGTTCCCGTGCCGTCTCAGTCGTGTCGCGTTCATTTGGCCAATTCGACATGTAGAATCGCCAGTGGCCGTCGACATCTCT